TAATGATTATACTATAGCCCAGATATTCCAATTTATAGACCAGACTCTAGACTAGACTATAGACCAGACTATACTATATTCCGGACAATGGACTAAACTACAGTGCAGACTATGGTCTAGACTATAGACTAGACTATAGACTAGACTATAGACTAGACTATAGACTAGACTATAGACTAGACTATAGACTAGACTATAGACTAGACTATAGACTAGACTATAGACTAGACTATAGACTAGACTATAGACTAGACTATAGACTAGACTATAGACTAGACTATAGACTAGACTATAGACTAGACTATAGACTAGACTATAGACTAGACTATAGACTAGACTATAGACTAGACTATAGACTAGACTATAGACTAGACTATAGACTAGACTATAGACTAGACTATAGACTAGACTATAGACTAGACTATAGACTAGACTATAGACTAGACTATAGACTAGACTATAGACTAGACTATAGACTAGACTATAGACTAGACTATAGACTAGACTATAGACTAGACTATAGACTAGACTATAGACTAGACTATAGACTAGACTATAGACTAGACTATAGACTAGACTATAGACTAGACTATAGACTAGACTATAGACTAGACTATAGACTAGACTATAGACTAGACTATAGACTAGACTATAGACTATAGACTAGACTATAGACTAGACTATAGACTAGACTATAGACTAGACTATAGACTAGACTATAGACTAGACTATAGACTAGACTAGACTATAGACTAGACTATAGACTAGACTATAGACTAGACTATAGACTAGACTATAGACTAGACTATAGACTAGACTATAGACTAGACTATAGACTAGACTATAGACTAGACTATAGACTAGACTATAGACTAGACTATAGACTAGACTATAGACTAGACTATAGACTAGACTATAGACTAGACTATAGACTAGACTATAGACTAGACTATAGACTAGACTATAGACTAGACTATAGACTAGACTATAGACTAGACTATAGACTAGACTATAGACTAGACTATAGACTAGACTATAGACTAGACTATAGACTAGACTATAGACTAGACTATAGACTAGACTATAGACTAGACTATAGACTAGACTATAGACTAGACTATAGACTAGACTAAGACTAGACTATAGACTAGACTATAGACTAGACTATAGACTAGACTATAGACTAGACTATAGACTATAGACTAGACTATAGACTAGACTATAGACTAGACTATAGACTTAACTAGACTATAGACTAACTATAGACTAGACTATAGACTAAGACTATAGACAAGACTATAGACTAGACCTATAGACTAGACTATAGACTAGACTATAGACTAGACTATAGGACTAGACTATAACTAGACTATAGACTAGACTATAGACCAGACGATAGACTAACTATAGACTGACTATAGAACCTAGACTATAGACTAACTATAGCTAACTATCGAATCTATACGCGTAAGACCAGACTAATGACTGGACTCTAGTCTAGACTGAGGACTAAATATAGGCCAGACTATGGACTAGGCAATAATCCAGAATATAGACCAGTCCATTGCCTAAACTGTAGACTTAGCTATAGTCCAGACTATAGACTAGATCAGACTGTGAACTAAACTGTAGTCCAGACTTTGGTCTAATCTATTCTTAAAGACCCAATACAACTCATATTATATATTGAGAGCAAACTATAATTCGAGAAACCAGTTTTTCAATTATTAAAAAGAGCCCCAAATTTTTTTTATTAACGTCTCTTTTATCAACACTTTCGATTTCAAGTTCAGTTTAAATATGAAATAATAATTTGTTATAATTATTTGAATTTAAGCATATATATGTATGTACATCACATTAAGATTTTATTTCATAATCTATGCGAAAATCTATTTCAGTTTAGAATTCGTATAAAATTTGTTTAACTAAATTAGCACCTTTAATATTAATGTTTGTAGAAAATATTAACACTTCAGAAATGTTTGGGTTAAAAGAGTTTCTAGAGATGATTATTATCTTCGTGAGGCTACAAATTATTTAAAGATTTAAAACTAGTTTTATTAAAAAATTCACTAATGAGAAGTATATTTTATCAAACCAAAAGTCAAAATGCATGTCTATTTTAATAAAACTAATTTAAGTTTGAATATTAAATAATAAATGTTGCATAAAATGCATGTGATATGAAATATTAAAAAGTGTATAGTCTTATAAGACTGAAACGTTTAAAAAAATATATGGAAAAATTCTAACCAAAATCAAGCAAAACGATGATAAAAGTTAAAGAATTTAAAGAAAAAAAAATGCCATTACATTTATTTTATTTATGCTATGAATTTTGATTTATTTCTTATGACAAATATGCCCTTATTTTGGCACATTACCTGTACGATTTAAATAATATTCATATTTAAAAAACCATAAAACATGTTTTTCCGTTATTACTACAACGTTGGAGATCTGGGTATTTATTTATTAAAAGCGTTTAATTTATACTATGTGGTGATTGAATCTGTCCGTCCATTGTTTGCCGTTTCGGCATATTAACTAAACCAGCGTTTAAATGATATGATCAAAAACACTCCCATTTTGAATCTGCCATTTTTTTTTTGTTTTTTTCGGATTGTTATGGAACATGTGTTCCACCCCCTTTGGTTATGCTACGCACGTTGTATATAATTATAGTGTCTATTAAATTTAAGTTTTGACAAATACACATAATTTTTCATGAGAATATTTTTTTCGGGTGTTCACTACATTTTGCAAATATGCAGTATATGAACAATAGTCGAGTCTATAGTCTGGTCTATAGCAGTCTAAAATCTGGACTAAATTCTAGTCTTTAGTCTATGTTGTGGACTATATTCTATAGTCTAGACTATAATCTATAGTCTGGACAATAGTCTATAGTCTGGACAATAGTCTATAGTCTGGGCAATAGTCTATAGTCTGGACTATAGTCTATAGTCTGGACTATAGACTATAGTCTGGATAATAGTCTATAGTCTAGACAATAGTCTATAGTCTGGACTATAGTCTATAGTCTGGACTATAGTCTATAGTCTGGACTATAGTCTATAGTCTGAACTATAGTCTATAGTCTGGACTATAGTCTATAGTCTGGACTATAGTCTATAGTCTGGACTATAGTCTATAGTCTGGACTATAGTCTATAGTCTGGACTATAGTCTATAGTCTCGACAATAGTCTATAGTCTGGACAATAGTCTATAGTCTGGACTATAGTCTATAGTCTGGACTATAGTCAGACTATAGACTATAGTCAGACTATAGACTATAGTCTGGACAATAGTCGATAGTCTGGACTATATTCTATAGTCTGGACTATAGTCTATAGTCTGGACAATAGTCTAGTCTATAGTCTGGACAATAGTCTACTCTATAGTCTGGACTATAGTCTAGTCTATAGTCTGGACTATAGTCTAGTCTATAGTCTGGACAATAGTCTAGTCTATAGTCAGGACTATAGTCTAGTCTATAGTCTGGACAATAGTCTAGTCTATAGTCTGGACTATAGTCTAGTCTATAGTCTGGACTATAGTCTAGTCTATAGTCTGAACTATAGTCTAGTCTATAGTCTGGACTATAGTCTAGTCTATAGTCTGGACTATAGTCTAGTCTATAATCTGGACTATAGTCTAGTCAATAGTCTGGACTATAGTCTAGTCTATAGTCTGTACTATAGTCTAGTCTATAGTCTGGACTATAGTCTAGTCTATAGTCTGGACTATAGTCTAGTCTATAGTCTGGACTATAGTCTAGTCTATAGTCTGGACTATAGTCCAGTCTATAGTCTGGACTATAGTCTAGTCTGGACTATAGTCTAGTCAATAGTCTGGACTATAGTCTAGTCTATAGTCTGGACTATAGTCTAGTCTGGACTATAGTCTAGTCAATAGTCTGGACTATAGTCTAGTCCATAGTCTGTACTATAGTCTAGTCCATAGTCTGTACTATAGTCTAGTCTATAGTCTGGACTATAGTCTAGTCTATAGTCTGAACTATAGTCTAGTCTATAGTCTGGTATAGTATTTATAGTCCAGATTATAGACTGGACTATGGTCTAGTCTACAGTCTGGACTATGGTCTAGTCTATAGTCAGGACTATAGTGTAGTCTACAGTCTGGACTACAGTCTAGTCTATAGTCTATAGTCTGGACTATAGTCTGGTCTATAGTCTGGTCTATAGTCTGGACTATAGTCTAGTCTATGGTCTGAACTATAGTATGGTCTATAGTCTGGACTATAGTCTAGTCTATAGTCTGGGCTCTAGTCTAGTCTGGACTATAATCTAGTCTATAATCAGGATTATGGTCTATTCTATAGTCTGAACTATAGTCAAGCCTATAATCTGGTCTATGGTCTATTCTATAGTTTGAACTATAGCCTAGTCTATAGTCTTGACTATAGTCTAGTCTATAGTCTGGCCTATAGTCTAGTCTATTGTCTGGACTATAGTCTAGTCTAGAGTCTAGTAAATTTGTGGTAAAATTATAGGGTATCTGTGTAGTCGGTTTTTACCTATATATTTTATATATAAAGATGTTGGTTCCGTTTAATTAAATGAGTAAATAACGGTGTATAATATATTATAATGTAATAATAACTTCAAATGGCAAACGATCACAAATTATGTCACGAATTTTAATTTTTTTGTTTTGCCTAAATTTGATCAAATAAACACGTCTTCAAATGCTCAACTCAGAAATTATTAAAACAAAGATTTTTTTCTATTAATGATAATTTTATTACTACAAAATTTATTGTTCGTAAAAGTGTTGACAGGTGAATAAACTTTTGGTCATTTTTGGTTTTTTACCATTCTTTTCTTGCGAAACGTGACGTATTTTCACAAAAATCAAAAATTCGTTCATAATACCGAGAAATAAATATGTAGTAATAAAAAAAATATACTTTTATTTTGGTTTATTATTATTGCTATTGTTGTTGTAATAAATTCATTCACAATTATTTAAATATTTTAACAATTTATTTCTTTATTATCATCAGTCGTATTTGATTTGTTTATTGTTTCTCTATCACTTCTATTTCTAGTTTAACAAATCACGCAAATTTTTTTAATTTTTAAATTCTTTTTTTATTTTTTCAACAACAAAAATTAATTTATAACTTAAATCACAATAGGGTTTATAACTAAAAATACATGTCTTTTTGGAAAAAGTTTTTTTAATAATTTCTTCCTTCGGGTTTATGATATGGATGTTCGGATAAATATTGCAAGGTTTTCAATACTGACTCGGGTGTTGGTGGTGGAGTTGGTAAATGAGCACCGATGGGACGGTAACCATTTTCATCAGCTGTATATGAGAGAGCATATTCATGACCATCATCGGCTATGAAAGCAAATCTACCTTCAATGGCTTCACCGTCATGTTCGGCATCGACTTGTTTTAGGAAACCATCTTGTGTGGCTTTGGAACCGTCTCCCAATTCGTAGCTAAAAGTAAAATAATAAATTAATTTTTACTAAAAATAATTTGATGAAATTTGTCATGTACGTCTCCAAAGTCTAAGGACGAACGCTATTGAAAGTGTTTGAAATCGGTCCATTATTTCATCTAGCCTTCATACAATCGAACCCCCCGATAGGGCTTTTGTCCTCATAATTATGATAAATGTTCTAGTAATTCAATAAAAAAGTCTAAATATTAATGTTAATTTTCGTAACGATCGGGCCTTATTTGGCCCTAGACCTCATACAAAGTCCCCTTTAGAATATGACATGAATGTACACAATTCCCTAATAAACACTAGTATCACGATGAAATTCGGCACAAATAACTTTTATATAAACATAAATCCCACCAATAAATTTTAATTTTTGCCCTAGCTCCCATACAACCGGGCCCTCATATTTGGACCTTTTAGCTCATAACTACTCAAATATACTGCTATCTTTCCAAAATTCGGCAAAACTACGATTTATATAAGTATAAATAACACTGCCAATTTTTGTAATGATCGGGCCCATTTGATTATAGGCCCCATACAAAGTCCCCTTCAGAAAAATACTTGAATGTCCACTATATACTTTTAAAAAACACTAGAATTGTGATGAAATTCGGCACAAATAACTTTTAAACATAAATCTCGCCAATAAATTTTATAAGGATCGGACCAAATTTTGCCCTGGCCTGCATATATGTATATATTCATCTTAAATTATACCAGTCAGAATTACTTTTTACTTTCGATTAAGCTATGTATATCCGTCTGTGTGTCCATGTAACACTGTCACCGATACGTACTTTCGCCTTCTCTTGTACGCGGTCGAATAGCTCCAAACTAGACTTCGAAGCTCCGGCCCATACATGGGAGTTGTATTCCATTTTCGGTCGGATATAAGTGGTGTAAATAGTAAGAAGATCAGATGGAGTGAAGTATGTCTTACACCGTTTCAAAAAAACGAGACACTCGAATGCTTCTTTCGACAGTTGGAAAATGTGTTTAGTCCCTCGGACATCGCACTGAATTTTCAGGCCCAGAACATCAAGAGTTGCTGATTCTTTAATATTTACACCACCCATAAATATAAATGGACTAACATTATCAGCCATACGTTTATGTGTTAAAAAACAACATTGAGTCTTGCGGGCGTTAAAATCGACTCTGTTAACACGACCCCTTTCATAGATTTTTATCAAGTAGTGATTAAGCGATTCATTTATATTGCGCCTCATTGCCCCAATCTTTAGAGTGGCCTTGGCCTATAATTGAATGAATAGGAATGACAGATATTGCTGTCATCGGCAAAAGTGTAGATAAAGTTGGAAATTTGACATAGAAGGTCATTTATGAAGATAAGAAATAGGGTTGGTAGGTAGTCAAGTCTATAGACAATCCTATTGACTAATCTGTGTTGGAAATCGGCCCATATTTGACACTCATAACTGCCCTAAAACTATCAATATGGAAATGAAATTCATCAAGTTTTATAGAAAGCAAAAACTTTCCACAAACTTTTAAGATAATCGTTGCATAATTGATTGAAAATCGGACTTCGGAAAATCGGTCCAATACTTGACCTAGACCCCATACAGAATTATGTTCAGTATACTCGTATCTCGACAAAAAGTTGCAAAACCAAGATTATAAATATGACTTTAATGTACACAATTTTATTTAATAACAAGTGAGAATTTTAACACTCTACTCGTATTTTTAATGAGCGTTAAAGTAATTTTCTGAAGCGGACCTTATATAGGTAGAGAGGTTTTGGCTTGTCTGAGACTTACTTATGTGAAATTTCACCGCTATACTAGTATTTTTAAGCCTGAAATGGGCATTATAGTCATTTTCTAAAGAGGCCTTATATGGGGGGTAGGGTCAATTATGGACCGATCCTCAAAAAATTTGGCAGGAAGATTTTTTTTCATATGGAACTTGTTTATGTCGAATTTCATCGTTATACTTGAACTTTTAAAGCCGTTAAAGCTGTTTTTCGGGTGTCCACTTGTATGGGGGCTATCCGAAAATGTGGACCGATATCACCCATTTTCAATACCAAACAAACCTTACCTATAGAGAATATTTGTGGAAAATTTCTATTTGGCAGGGAGATTTTTTCATATGGAACTTGTTTATGTCGAATTTCATCGTTATATTTGAACTTTTAAAGCCGTTAAAGCTGTTTTTCGGGTGTACACTTGTATGGGGGCTATCCGATAATGTGGACCGATATCACCCATTTTCAATACCAAACAAACCTTACCTATAGAGAATATTTGTGGAAAATTTCTATCTCATTTCGTTCGGTTTCTATCGTGTTTTCAACAGACAGACAGACAGAGGGCGGATACGTCTAGATCGTCTTAGAGTTTAATAAGGACCCAGAATAATTATACTTTTGTGGGTCTATGACCAATATTTCGATGTGTTACAAACGGAATGACAAAATCAATATACCCCCATCTTTTTTGATAGTATATCTGAAACAAGGTAAAATTTAACTTAAATGCTTTATTATGAACACTAAATCACATTTTATTTTTATAGCTGGTATAGGTCGGTCTCGCCCGACTATAACTTCTTACTTGTATTATATTCTAGTTCAATTATTTTAACACCAAAATCACATTCCATAAATATAATATCACAACTTTGAATAATTTCACGGAATCTAGGTTTTCATAAACGATAAACTTTGGCATCTGTTGAATATCCTTCTAACCTATACTCTGAGCTTTCGTGGCATTTATTCGAAAGCTTTTCTTTATATATGGCGTATTTTCTTAATTCTTCATAAACTTTTCATAAGCATTTCCTATAGAATTATTTTATATTTGGTTCCCAAAGTTATCGGAAATACGTAGCTTATCAATTTCATTAGGGTACAAAATTGTATACACCCTGCAGTTCGACAAAGAGTCAATGGATCCGAAAAAGACAGTGATTTCCAATAAAGTCTAACCACTTGGTTGACTCTAATTCGTCTAATTCTAATTCGTAAACGAGGGTGAAGATAATCGTCACTTTAGTGTTCCCTTTGTAAGCGAAAGAGGGGGCACTTGTTAAAATAGCTAGTCACCTGGACAGTCGGTGGCTAGGTGTAACCTTATGTGGTAGGTTAAATAGGGAGTTCGGGACTGTCCGACCGAACTGCTGGGTAGCACTTCTCAGTAAGTAAATGGTAGACAAATATGATATATGGGTACTTTATAAGTATAACTCCAAAAATTATGTTTCATATTTATTAAACTTTTTTTTTAAGTTTTAACTTGTGAGAAATTTGAAGATTGATACTTTTGTTTTATTTTTAAGCCAGCAACATAGTCATATTTAATTTTTAATTAATATTTTTACAATGTTTGTCCATGTCTTAATCGAAACGAGTCTCAAAATTGTATTTTTCACACACTTTTTCCAATGTTGATTGCATTTTTTTATCTATTATACTTTTTAAATGTAAACCGTTTCCGTACTTATCACAAATATTTGTTAAGGTGAATACGTAAGTAGTTATTTTATTAAAATGCTTACTGGTAATGAAATTTGCCATCAAATTCCACCATGGCTTCATTTGAAATTAATTCGACTTCTTTGGCATAAGCAGCGGCAGCGAATAAACACAATATAGCGATCACTTTCATTTTTATAAAAATATTTCAAAATTATATTCTTTTATATTTCTTTATTAATTTAACATGCAATTGAAATGCAATATATTTTAATTAAATACAAATTTTATCTCTTTCCTAACAAATTAAATCTCCAAAACTCAAATTAACGAATGACAAGATTTTAACTAAATATCAGGCTTTTATACATTTTTGTTTCTAAATTTAACAAAAAACACAATAAAAAACAACAAATTCTAGCTAAAAATAACAACAACCACATAAAAAAATTCCTGAACCAAAGTTGAAAAAAAAAAAAATATTTTATAGAATTAATATAAATAAAATAAGAAAAAAAATCTATAAAGTTATAAAATATTGAACTTGTTTTGATATTTGGTTTCAACAACAACTCTCATCTCAAACTTATTTGGCAACTTACTAGTAATTTTTCACAAATACCAATACAACTTAAAGCTACAAAAACAAAGCTTTAAAGCTGCAGTATTGTATTTGTACTTCAAAGTTCTAGATTTTAATTGGATCGTTTCTAAAATGCTGTGACGTCTTGTGTCTATGTTTCGTTCTGCTCTACAAATTGGGTGTGAATTTTGACACAATCATAAAATAAACACTGACGTATCTTGACCAACTGCCATTCTTATCAGTCAGTCAGATCTCATAATGATTGTTTTTTTTTTATCAGCGGCAGCATCATCATCATTAACATTATCATTAAAATCATAATTATTTTTATAGAAACGTTTCCCAAATATTTAAAATCAAGTTTATTTTTATTCGATTTAGTTTCAAGTATTTAGAAAGAGTTAGGAGTTGAAAAAAAGTTGCTTTCAAACCACATTTTTTGTATACATTAGATTTCGTCTGTATTCATTTAATTTACATAAATTTTAGTCTTTTATTAAAACTTTTTCTATTTTTCTAAATTTGTTTTCGCTTTTAGGTTTGTGTGTCAGTTTTAGATGGGGGGAATCAACAACAATAGCAACATGAATCTAAATCTAAATTATTTTGGCAAATATTAATTTACCACTCAACGCTGCGCTCGATATTAGCGCTATTTTCAGTTCAGTTTAAGCTCAAATTCTTGTTTTTTTTTTTATTTTGCTGAATTTTTGGCATAATTTATTCTGACTTAAGGTTGATATTATTAACAGAGTATCTATAATTGGACGTAAATCATTTTTATTTCATATTGCAAATCGTTTTGCAAATTTATTTAAATTATATAATGAAAAGTTTGTGGGAGATAGACTAGCGAAAGAATAGAAGAAAGCAAGACTAGTTTTGAATATTCTAACTCTTTATAAGTTAAAATCTTTATGTTTATTTTGGTCACTGTCATTTGTTATTTATTTTGTTGTAGACTGGATTTTGAAATTTGTATACAATCATTTGTTAGTATTTTTATTGTATATGATCGAATGGAATTCCTTTATGAGCCAGTTTTCAACCGGGATTCAGGTTTATATTTAGTTTTAGAAAACTAGAAAGTTTTTTGATAATTTCAGTAGCAGATTTGTTTAAAAGACAAAACAAAACATAAAAAGGTAATGTATTTAATGCGGTGACTTTATAAATACTATACAATGTACAAACTACAAACAAACCAAGTACGATTTCGGCTAAGATCAACCAAGTTTGCTGAATGTCATGGCAGCGATGATGGAAAATTATTTTTTAAATGAAAGACGAATACATACACTGTCTGGATGTAATCCTTAATGCGAAATTAATATGGAAGAGAGAGAATGATTCTAAAATAGAAGAGAGTACTATCAAGTAAGTCGATCCGATACCTGAAATTAAAATTTTAGACAAGTTTGAAACATTGATCCCCAATAGGAGGTTATGGTTAAGTGGAATATAATATAGAGCAAATCCCTGCAGCTGGGACATAAAAAACGATCTGGGGATCTATATTGAATATTGTCTATAGTCTAGTCTATAGTCTAGTCTAGTCTAGTCTAGTCTAGTCTAGTCTAGTCTCTAGTCTAGTCTAGTCTAGTCTAGTCTAGTCTAGTCTAGTCTAGTCTAGTCTAGTCTAGTCTAGTCTAGTCTAGTCTAGTCTAGTCTAGTCTAGTCTAGTCTAGTCTAGTCTAGTCTAGTCTAGTCTAGTCTAGTCTAGTCTAGTCTAGTCTAGTCTATAGTCTAGTCTAGTCTATAGTCTAGTCTAGTCTAGTCTAGTCTAGTCTAGTCTAGTCTAGTCTAGTCTAGTCTATGGTCTAGTCTATAGTCTAGTCTATAGTCGAGTCTATAGTCTAGTCTATAGTCTAGTCAATAGTCTAGTCTATAGTCTAGTCTATAGTCTAGTCTATAGTCTAGTCTATAGTCTAGTCTATAGTCTAGTCTATAATCTAGTCTATAGTCTAGTCTATAGTCTAGCCTATAGTCTAGCCTATAGTCTAGTCTATAGTCTAGTCTATAGTCTAGTCTATAGTCTAGTCTATAGTCTAGTCTATAGTCTAGTCTATAGTCTAGTCTATAGTCTAGTCTATAGTCTAGTCTATAGTCTAGTCTATAGTCTAGTCTATAGTCTAGTCTATAGTCTAGTCTATAGTCTAGTCTATAGTCTAGTCTATAGTCTAGTCTATAGTCTAGTCTATAGTCTAGTCTATAGTCTAGTCTATAGTCTAGTCTATAGTCTAGTCTATAGTCTAGTCTATAGTCTAGTCTATAGTCTAGTCTATAGTCTAGTCTATAGTCTAGTCTATAGTCTAGTCTATAGTCTAGTCTATAGTCTATTAGTCTATAGTCTATAGTCTATAGTCTATAGTCTATAGTCTATAGTCTATAGTCTATAGTCTAGTCTAGTCTATAGTCTATAGTCTATAGTCTATTGTCTATAGTCTATAGTCTATAGTCTATAGTCTATAGTCTATAGTCTATAGTCTATAGTCTATAGTCTATAGTATATAGTCTATAGTCTATAGTCTATATAGTCTATAGTCTGTAGTCTATAGTCTAGTCTAGTCTATAGTCTAGTCTATAGTCTAGTCTATAGTCTAGTCTATAGTCTAGTCTATAGTCTAGTCTATAGTCTAGCCTATAGTCTAGTCTATAGTCCTAGTCTAGTCTATAGTCTAGTCTATAGTCTAGTGTAGTCTATAGTCTAGTCTATAGTCTAGTCTATAGTCTAGTCTATAGTCTAGTCTATAGTCTAGTCTATAGTCTAGTCTATAGTCTAGTCTATAGTCTAGTCTATAGTCTAGTCTATAGTCTAGTCTATAGTCTAGTCTATAGTCTAGTCTATAGTCTAGTCTATAGTCTAGTCTATAGTCTAGTCTATAGTCTAGTCTATAGTCTAGTCTATAGTCTAGTCTATAGTCTAGTCTATAGTCTAGTCTATAGTCTAGTCTATAGTCTAGTCTATAGTCTAGTCTATAGTCTAGTCTATAGTCTAGTCTATAGTCTAGTCTATAGTCTAGTCTATAGTCTAGTCTATAGTCTAGTCTATAGTCTAGTCTATAGTCTAGTCGATAGTCTAGTCTATAGCTAGTCTATAGTCTAGTCTATAGTCCTAGTCTATAGTCTAGTCTTAGTCTAGTCTATAGTATAGTCTATAGTCTAGTCTATAGTCTAGTCTATAGTCTAGTCTATAGTCTAGTCTATAGTCTAGTCGATAGTCTAGCTATAGTCTGTCTATAGTCTAGTCTATAGTCTAGTCTATAGTCTAGTCTATAGTCTAGTCTATAGTCTATCTATAGTATAGTCTATAGTCTAGTCTCTAGTTCTAGTCTATAGTCTAGTCTTAGTCTAGTAGTCATAGTCTATAGTCTATAGTCTAGTCTATAGTCTAGTTCTAGCTATAGTCTAGTCTATAGTCTAGTCTATAGTCTAGTCTATAGTCTCTAGTCTATAGTCTAAGTCTATAGTCGTAGTCTATAGCTAGGCTAGTCTAGTCTATCGTCTAGTCTATAGTCTAGTCTATAGTCTAGTCGATCGTCTAGTCTATAGTCTAGTCCTATAGTCTAGTCCTATAGTCCTAGTCTATAGTCTAGTCTTAGTCTAGTCTATAGTCTAGTCTATAATCTAGTCTATAGTCTAGTCTATAGTCTAGTCTATAGTTTAGTCTATAGTCTAGTCTATAGTCTAGTCTATAGTCTAGTCTATAGTCCAGTCTATAGTCTAGTCTATAGTCTAGTCTATAGTCTAGTCTATAGTCTAGTCTATAGTCTAGTCTATAGTCTAGTCTATAGTCTAGTCTATAGTCTAGTCTATAGTCTAGTCTATAGTCTAGTCTATAGTCTAGTCTATAGTCTAGTCTATAGTCTAGTCTATAGTCTAGTCTATAGTCTAGTCTATAGTCTAGTCTATAGTCTAGTCTATAGTCTAGTCTATAGTCTAGTCTGTAGTCTAGTCTATAGTCTAGTCTATAGTCTAGTCTATAGTCTAGTCTATAGTCTAGTCTATAGTCTAGTCTATAGTCTAGTCTATAGTCTAGTCTATAGTCTAGTCTATAGTCTAGTCTATAGTCTAGTCTATAGTCTAGTCTATAGTCTAGTCTATAGTCTAGTCTATAGTCTAGTCTATAGTCTAGTCTATAGTCTAGTCTAGTCTAGTCTATAGTCTATATGTCTAGATCTCTAGTCTAGTCTGTAGTCGTATATGTCTAGTCTATAGTCTAGTCTATAGTCTAGTCTATAGTCTAGTCCTATAGTCTAGTCTATAGTCTAGTCTAGCTCTAGTCTCTAGTCTGTATAGTCTAGTCTATAGTCTAGTCCGATATGTCCTAGTCTATAGTCTAGTCTATAGTCATAGTCTATAGTCCTAGTCTATAGTCTAGTCTATAGTCTAGTCTATAGTCTAGTCATAAGTCTAGTCTATAGTCTAGTCTATAGTCTAGTCTATAGTCTAGTCTATAGTCTAGTCTATAGTCTAGTCATAGTCTAGTCTATAGTCTAGTCTATCGTCTAGTCTATAGTCTAGTCTATAGTCTAGTCTATAGTCTAGTCTATAGTCTAGTCTATAGGTCTAGTCTATAGTCTAGTCTAAGTCTAGTCTATAGTCTAGTCTATAGTCTAGTCTAGTCTAGTCTATAGCTAGTCTATAGTCTAGTCTTAGTCTAGTCTATAGTCTAGTCTATAGTCTAGTCTATAGTTCTTAGTCTATAGTCTAGTCTATAGTCTAGTCTATAGTCTAGTCTATAGT